GGCGACCTGGGCTCTGTCCTCTGCAAACTCGCTGAACACGTCGTCAAGCTCGTCGGAGCCGCGGCCACGGTCGGCCTCGGTCTCGGTTTCTCCATCGCGGCGGACGACAGGAGTAATGGTCTTCTCCCAATACACCGCAAACGTCGCGGCTTGTTTCACGGCTCTTTGTCGTTTGGCCGCGCGAAAGACCTTCTGGCCCAAATCCACCAGGTCTCGCTCGATCCAGACTTTGGCCTGGACGGTCTCGTCGTCACCCAGCGCGATATGCTGCTCCATCAACTCGTACTTCAGCTCCGTTTTCATGCTCACCCGACTGACCTCGATCCCAGTCGCCGACGCCGCGTACCGATGAACACCGGTGACGATCTCACGGACCTTGTCCTGCGCCTTTGCCGCGTCGTACGTCTTCAGAAAGTAATAGTGATCGGCGTCTTTGTAGATCTCGACCCCCCTGAACACACCCCAGACCGTGTACCTGAAAACTTGGTCATTCTCGCCTCGATCTCCGTCGGAAGCGTCCTCAGACCCCAGCTCGGTCTCGCTGTCCGATTCTCCTGCGGTGGCGCGATCGATAATTGTCGGGTCTGTCAATGCCTCGAGTTGCTGCTCTCTCCTCAGTTGCATCTGCCGTAAGAGCTCCGGGTCAAAACCCTGGCTCTGCATGGCCTGGCTCCTTTTCATCCGCATTTGCCCAAGGAGTTCAGGGTCGCGTTGCTGTTGACTGGGAGTTGGGCCATGAGGCGCTGAGTCTCTCTGACACCCATCTTCCAAACGCTTGATTTCGGCAATATCCTTTTTCTCTTCTGTGAAGGACTCCCGATTTTGACTCTGATCCATGGCTGATCCCTGCGACACCGATTGCGCATTTTGCCCAGCTCCAAACACAAAGTCGGCGCCGTCATCTTCTTCGCTTTCCTCGTCGTTGTCATGGCGATATTGGGTGGCGAGCTCAAGCTCTGCTTCGATCTCGGCAACTTGACTCTGAAGTTCGGCGACTTCGTCTTGGTCGGCCGTTTCAAAAAACCTCAGCTGGGCTTTCAGCTTGTTGATGATTTCTTCTCGATTGTCAGACTGCGCTTGTCGACCATCAACTGCTCTCGCCCTACTCATCGGCCGCTTGTCCCGGGCAGCTCGAGTCCCGTCTTCCACGAATCGGACTTGTTTCTTACTAGACTTCTTTTCTGTTCGCACGCTCGGCCGCTCCTTTTTCCTGTGCTCTCTCGGCCTAATGCTGTGCCGCCGGCTTTTGCGCTCACTCCTCAGCCCTCCCCAATGGTCGATCTCCTTCTGGACCTTTGGTGTTTCGTCGTTGATAAAATCAATATGCTTCTGACTGAATGTCCGTCGCATCTCCGTCATGACTGCAACGTCGCTGGGCTCCTCTAAGCTCTCTGCCGCCTTCTGAACGCGCCTTCGGATGTTGTCGCGAATGTCCTGGACCCGCGTCCGTCGCATTTTGCCGGGCTTTCCCTGCTCGATCACGAGCGAGATGAACCTCCCAATGTCGTAAAGCTCGTTTGTTTCCGTTTGCATGGTTCTCTCGGTGATTTCGCGATCCGAGAAGCACCGTAATTGCGCAAACGTCCAAAACACGCCTCCAAGCGCATCCAGGTCTCGCTTTCTCTCCTTTGCAATCTCGTGCTGGACAATCACATCTTTTTCTTCTTCGGAGAGTTGGTCAAAGTTCTTGGGAAGCGTCAAGCCTTGATTTCGACGGGGACCAAGGGCAGACGGCGGCGCGGTGTGTTCTCCAGATGGCTGGGATTCTGTCGCCCTGGGATCAGGAGGCACCAGATCGCGTTTTCGTGGAAGTTTCTGGGGTTGGGAGAGGACTCGATCGAGGGGCCTGGAAGTACTTTCACTGTCACTGACGGTGACTCTTTTCGCTGCAAGCGCCTCAAGTCCAGAAAGAGGCCGAGTCAACGGCTTGGGGTTGCGTTTTTCTTCGTTGATAGCTCCTCTCTCCGCTGTATCTGTCTCATGACTGGATAGAGGCCGTGGGTATATCCTACAAGTTTCATTCTCAGCACCGGGTCCAATCTGCGATTGCTGCACTGTGTTGCGCCCCAAATATAGAGGTGTCTCGTTCTCTATAGCACTGATCTCTGTAGCACTGATTTGTGGCTGTTGCTCGGTGTTGCACTTCAAGTGTCGAGGGGCGTGGTGTTCTGGCGTAGCACTCAATTGCTGTTCTCTATTGCACTCTGCATATATCGTGGAACCATCAGGTCTCTCAGGAAGAGGATTCTGCCGACGAGCTCTACAGTTCCCGTCATCTGCGATGAACTGTCTGCTTGGGGGAGGGGTGCTCACGCTTCCCTTCGCCGCAAGCCCAGGACGAATAGCTCTTTTAGCCTCACGTAAATGATCATCGCCCAAGGGTATGGCCCCCAATTTGTCGCGACCGATCTTAGCATCCCGGTCATCACTTAATGGCTGGCTTTGTATCCAATTAGGAGGATTCCTTGCGCCGGCTAATACGTCTGTCCTCTGGACTGTCCTACCATTGATTAGTCTTCATCGTGATAAGGATTGCTTGCCTCTGACCTACTTCGATTTGTCGCCCCTCTCCCTCGACTCTGAGTTTTTACTGTGCTGTGCAAGGTCCCGGGGTTCGTCGGCGTGGCCGTTGTCGTCGGAAAAAAGGCCGGTAGTTGAATCGTTGTCGTGGTCGACATCCGTATCAGATATTGTCCTACTGTACTCCGAATCCGAGCCTCTTTCAGAGTTTGTAAGAAGTCCACGCCGCCGCAAGGCCTTCTCTCGTAGCTGTCGACTCCGCTCTGCTCCTTCTTCTTGATATCTGTGCATGTGTTCGCGGGCTAGATCCAGGAACTTCTGTTCTTCATCTAGCTCGATATTGGATGTTTCCTCTTTTATTTCCCTCTGTTTAGGTTTCGGTTGGTGGTGTCTCGATAGTAGTTCATTAAGGCGCGTTCGTTGTTCCTCCGACGTGCCCCCTTCGCCAGAGTTCGCTGGACTAATTATCTTCGACCAGTACCCTTCATCCTCGTCCTCCGAGTCTTGGTAGAGACACGAGCCAGGGTGAGGGTCTGGACGTAACCAATCTTCCTCGTCGAGCGGAAAGCCATTAGGGAATGGATTGAAGAATCCAAATTCTGCTTGGCGATATGTCGATGCCTGGGGTTCTGACGCATTGGCTTCGTTTTCGCCGAACGTGTCGCATTTCTGATCGGCAATTTCGACGGCGCGCTTTGTGGGGAGGAGACGCCGTTTATTCTTTTGCGCGGGCGACACAGATAGAGAGCGTTTAGCTCTGGCTGGTGGAGAATCCAAGACAATTGGGAGATTTGAACCAGTCTTTTGATGACTTAGTGGTGAATCTTCCTGATATACGGCCAAGGCGTCATCAATTTCCGCCAGCGAAGGCTTTATGTCCAGATCAGAATATTCTGCATCGATTTGTGAGTTGAAAGACGTGGCTTGAGGGTAACTCGTTCTTTCAGTGTCGATCGACTCGTAGATCTCGTCCGAACCATCAACGATCCGCCAGCCATCGATCTGAAACGCTTGTGATTTTACAGTCTCCCGGCTCTCCACTGGAGGGAGCCACCTCGGCCGGGATGGGGCCTTGGGTGACAGGATCTCTGGTGAATCGGAGGCAACACGATCTTGGCTGTGGCCGATGGAAGCAGCGGCCGTTTCATTTGCCTCTCGGCTTGAGCGGAGCGAGGATGGGTGCGGTTTGAGGGGTTTGATTGTGATTTTTCCAAGTTGTTGAGAGAATATAGGGAGATTGGCATCGATTGTTGAGTTGTTGGCACCCATTCTGTGAGCTGTTGGATAGAGATAAGCTGTGACAAAATCCAAGATGCATGAACACTCCCAGAAGTGAACAAAAAGTGCCTGGATGATCAAAACTACGTAGAAAGTGATTGGTGAGGGGGTCGAGTCGATAGCGTGGTCGACGTGAGTGCTGACGGCTCTGTTGCTTATGGTGAGCTTTTGAGTTGGATAGTGGTACCAGATGTTTGGACTCGGGTGCAACGGGACTCGCAAAGGGTAGCTCAAGGGACAATAGCTCCACAATGAGAGGACAGGTCTGAATAAAGGGGCGAAGCAAGTGACACGCGAAAAGGGTTTCAGTGCGTCCGAAGAGAGAGGGATCCGGGTAAAGAGATCGATGAATGAACGTGGAGAAGACTTGCGGGACGTAAAGGGTCTGAGAGGTGGGCGAGGCAGATCTAAGCAGAGTAGATGCTGTTATACCATGAACTGAAAAAGAGAAGACAAAAAAAAACGGTCAAAGGTACGGTCACCGGGCTGTCACTGACGCTGTAGTGAGAGGTACCCCCACGACTAGAGAGAACCCACTCAAGGAGAGTTGACAAGAAATGCCGCTGCCAAGCCTATCGTATGGCGAGACACACAAAGTCCATCACTGGATAGGGACCGATGACTGTGTGAATATGCATGTTGGACTTGTCTTCCTGAAGACCATTGTGCCGACTTTTAGGGAGTGAACGGTCCTGCTGTTGTCCTTGTTCAGGGAGGGTGATCCAGGGAAGTGTGTTTCACGTGTCGCCGGCTGGACTGTGTGGCAGCCAAACAACCAAAGTGTGCGGCACTCTTGGGAGGACGTGGTTTGTGTGCGTTGTTGAGGTATGCTGATCATCTGCTGGCCGCCCGCACAGACATGCTGAGGTCACCGAGGCGACCTGTGCCGGACGTATATTGTCGCCGAAGGAAGTGGTCGCGGGCAGGCACAAAGATACTAACAATTTAGAAGCTCTCTGTCTCTGTCAATGACGGGATGCCTGAGAAGATGAATTGAAGTTGGGATTGAAATGCCAAGCCATTCAACTAGCGCGAGGCTGAGGCTCGAGAGGGACGAGGTTGAATGCGTCACGTGACAGTCAGTTCAACAGATGCGACGATGCGACAGTGCGACAGCTCGGCTCTCAGAAACAAGCAAGATATTATTTTGTCCTTGTAGGGCTTGAAGGACAAGATGAGACTACTCATAGATGTTTCCCCCTTCACGCTTTATACACGATGTCCGACCCCACACAACGGTTGCAGGTGAATAGGTCGGTAGGGTCCTTGGCCCTCTTGATCCTCAACAAGCGCTCGTAGTTGGATCCCCAAAAGACTCTTTCCCAGTTAGGCTCGAAGCTGTTTGTAGGTTAACCAGTGGAGACTTTTGTAGTGGACACCAAACTCACGGGTTGGCTTCGTTCGCATACGTCCCTCCGGCCGGTCCAGCAATCTTGGTCCATCGCTTGCTCATTTCAACCAATTGAAGTCTCTTCTGATGCTTCTCAGTTTCAGGCGCTTCATCGTCCCAGTTCGTGCCGAAGCTCATAACCGCCCGGCCTTCCCGCCACGAAGGGTGAACTGACGTGTTGTCCCGCGTGGTGGAGTTGACATGCCCAACTGGAAACTGCGTCAGCAGGCATCATCTAGGAAACAGGAGGAACAAACCAAAGTTGAAGGATGGATAGTGGTCCGGACCAAACTCCAACATCATGTCGATAATCTCATCGGCTTTGTTGAACGCCATGTCCGGAGTAAGGAGCCGAGATGAATCCATGACATTCAGAGCGATGTTTGGGTCCTGAAGAAATGTGTTGCAGTAATCAATCCAGCGGGGAAAAGTGAAGTTGAACGCGGCGAAGCTGGTGCCGTTGATGAGTCCTAGCTGCTGAAAGGCCGCTGAACCTTGGGCCAGTTCTGCATCGGTACCTCCAGGTCGGATAAAGAGGCCAGAGAAACCATTGCTGAGGTATCCGTATCCAGTATAGCCGGCATTTGTCATATTCACCAACGCACCTAGAGACCCTTGTAGGAGTGGACGAAGGCTTGAATTCGTAGTGGCGTTGATCTGTATAGCGGCCACCTGAATATGCGTGGGTTCTGGGTGAGTACGATATGTCACTGAGGTTATGACCTGCTTTGAGTCAGCCATGAGCCGCAATATCCATTCTGCAATGTGGACGAACACCCCATGCGCTTCCTCCGCCGCCGCGCAAGGCCCAGAAATAATCTGGATCAGTATACTGATTAATAGTGACGTGCTCTCCCTGCGCATTGACCAATTTGATTTCCAGTACATCTAACACCATTTTGTTAGTGACGGTCGTGTCCACCTGATATTGGCATTACTTACTGTCGACGCCGAGACCGTAAAGATTCGACCAGGCCGAGTGACCGCCTCCCGTCAACCAGCCGCCAGCGGCTCCAACTGTTCTAGCATGGCCACCGACGACGATCACATGCTGTTCGGCAGCAGCTCGATACACATCTGAGCTCGTTAGTCCGCCAAAAGCACTAGCCAGCCACTGGACAGGTAAATACCTAGCCACTGCTCTCCTGCTTGTAGTGTGACAGCTGTCACACCTTGACTCTCTGCGGGTGCACCCTCGACGACATAGCTCTGTGTCCACTGTCTCCCTTTCAGATTGTGAGTCCAAATGGCAAAAGCGCCCCGTCCACTCGATCGCCCGAGGCTAATGTAGGAGTTTAGACATTGAGCATCTTATTGTTGAAGAGTGAGACTTACTGATCGTGGCCGGTGTTCTTTACCACAAGGTAGAGGTGTCTTTTGTTGGCGAACTTGACCGCGGCTTCAATGTCTCCCACAGATTGTGCTGCCACCGAATAGTGTGGAACTGTGAACGAAGTCAGAATCAGCTCTTGGAGCAATGGACATGGGATAGGGTCGCGGATACCCAACCCTGGCTGGCACGGTGCAGTCCTTGACGAATTGATAAAGCACTGTTGGCTGCCCAACTCCCATACAATGGCACTATATGCCCCCGACTGATTGGTTCTCCAAAAACTATTGTCCCATTCCCGTCTTGTCTGCTTGCACTTTTCGTTGTCGAATTGTTCCTCGTGGCAAACAGCTGCTGAAGGGAAGGTCCGGACGAGGCGGCCTGAGATACTGTTGTTGAAGGCTTGCCATTCCTGTTCATCGGGCCAGCAAGGGTCTCCGTATCTGCAGCGAGGACGGCGTGTAGGCGGACAGGCCCAACAGACATGTGCGAGGAGAAGAAATAGTGCGATGAATTTGGACATGGCGACAAGCATTATCATATCCCCTGGTCCACGATCCGGAGCAGAGTTTGATCATATGTCTATTTGAATTGAGATTGGAAGGGTAAATGGAGGTAGATTTATATACCTCGTATACACTCCAGCATATCTCTTTTGGAACATCTTCTCGACCTACCATTGGTTCACCACCTTACCTGGGAATGCGAATACGAGGGATAGAATGTACCATCCTTGAATTCAAGGAGAGGCGTGATCCGAATACCCGCGGCAGGTTGCTCAGTTTTGTGTCATATGGCTGCTTATAGGCAGCAGGATTTGTTTGCTGTTCACGCTGCTTCGTTTAGCGGCACGTTTCCTGCTAATATAATGATCGCCGTGATCTAGCCCTGGTACTTCGAGTCAGCCTCGCGGCCAAGAAGAGTATGATGTAGATTCGGCCATGGCACCAAGACCAATGAATACGAATACGATGAGGTGGGGGAAGTTCCGAATCAGTTGATGGAAGAGGTCAAAGAATGGCAGGACCGCTTTACGAATGAGGATGTATTGCAGATTGGCCGACGGATCTCAGGAGAAGATTGGACCAAAGTAGAGAAGAAAAGAGAAGAGAAAGAAGACAAGGAGGACGTCGTCGAGCCAAAGGTCAAGAATTGCCAAAATAGGTTTAGCGTCTTCAATTAAACCATCAACGCGCCACCACGCGTTCACCTTCGCCCGCCACTTCAAGAAGTGAGTGGACAACTGCGCAAGTCGTCCAAGTTGTACTCGTATACATCCTCGGTATATCGCAATCATTACCTGATATTGCTCCCAATGTCAAGGCTTTGAAACTATGGCGCCCACCCAATTTGAACCGCAGCCTCTCACGGCGCCCCTCAACGACCAAGCCCTCAGGTCCCTCTCCGAGCTACAACAACATCGAGACCGCGAAAAGAAAGCACGAGAACCCCTGAAAAAGGCGGCAGAGTACCTGACCGACATCACGGGAGAACTCAACGACCGAGCATACCTCCGCAGGGTTAGGCACTCCAAAGAGAAAGCTCGCCGTAGAGCTGCCAAAGGCGTCGAAGATGGTGCAGAAGAGAGCGACGACCCCGCAGTGGCCGAGGCAGATGCAAGACACGATGAGTTCCAACGCAGGGTCGAGGCTCTGACTAAGAGGATGGACTTGAGCATCCGTGGTGTCATCGACGACATGGCCTGGCTGACTGAGTATCCGGCAACTCTAAAGGCAGTGGTCGAGAAAGCACAGGAGATCACGGAGCAGCAGCGCAGTGACTTCCACGTACAAAGTCCACCGAGAAGAACCAGGCAGAGTAGGAGGGTGGTCGATACTGACGAGACTGGAAACGTGGATCAGGACGACGAAGGGGATGCGCATGAGGCGGAGGGTGACACAGAGGCTGGATCATCGTCCTCCCAGACACGGATGCTGCCGACTATCCACCCAGTCGACTCACCACATATCCATCTATCCACAGCACTGACCCAGCAAGTGCGGGAGTGGACATCCAAGACGCTGACAGAGAGATACGCACACAACAACGACTATAAGGGGTGGTACCGCGTTCTCTACGACTCCAAAAACCCTGGAGAATCCGCACCTCCTATGCCAGACGAAAGCCTGTGGTTCGCCGCTGAAGAGGGACGGATGAGTTTCTCGTCCAGTCAACGTCACCGCCACCGTCCCCTGCGAGAAGGCTCCCAAGCCGAAGCCACTAGCGTGACAGAAAATGGCTCCAGGTCTGGGTCCGACGACGAAGTCGAGATTGCCGCCGAAAAGACCCGGCTCAAATGCCCCATCACACTGCTCCCCTACGAAGACCCGGTCACATCCAAGAACTGCAACCACAGCTACGAGCGAAACGCCATCCTGTCGATGCTGAGCGCCTCGAGCAGCCACGCGCTTTGGACGCCGACCCAACTGCAGGAGCTGAGCCAGCTGAGTGACAGACAGCGGACCCGGCGCGAACGTGAGATGCGGGTCAAGCAGGTCAAGTGTCCCGAGTGCAACGTGCTGCTCGTGGAGGAAGACCTGATGGAGAACCCGGCGCTGAAGCGCCGCGTCGCGAGACTCCTCGCCCAGGAGAGGCGGGACAACATCACCACGAGCGACGTAGATGGCGATAGTAGCGGCGATGACGACGACAACGAGAACCGCCATCGCCATCATAACGACGTGGACCTTATAGGCACGCAGCGACGCCCCGTCGGTCTCGGCTCGAGCAGTCCGGTGCCTTCACGCTCGACGACCGCGCGCAGGACCGCCGAGCCGATCAAAGGCGAGCGCCTGTCGAGCATGAGCGTGGTCCCGCAGACGCAGCTGGGGGAGGATGATGGCGGCGGCAGTGGAACGCACAAGAATAGCCAATCCCCTGAACCTGCCCTTGTCCCGACCAGGCCGGCTCATCGAGGCCGCGGGAGAGGGCGGAACAGGCGAATCATGGACGTGGACGATGATAATGAGTAGTGATGACGAGTGAGTGACGAGAGATGAATCCGTCCGCCACATGTATGGTCTGTTCCAGGACAATCGGATTAAATTCAAGGCATAACAGATGAAAACACAACGTCACGAACAAATCCTTCATCCAGACCAATGGTTTCGCGCTCGCGAGTTTTACAATCAACGCCTACGATAGCCAAGTACCAAGTACCAGATACCAAGTACAATGCAAAATATTACGTTGCCTATCTGGACACGTGTATCTTGCACGTAGTAATACTCTATACCCAACGTGAGGCACGGGAGACAGGAACACGGGACACGGGACAAAGTTCAATATGCCAGACCAAAAAAATCAATTTTTCCATCAGACACGAGGCCGAGGAAGTTAGGGAGACAGGGTATCATCTATTTGACCCCTGGTCACTCATCCTCTGAATCGTAGTAATCGTCATCCGGGAGCAGACTCCGGTATCGTCGACTGGCGAGGTCCTCTTCTAGCCCTCCTTCGCTCTCGGGATCAATGTAGCCTGTCGATAGCTGTCAGCTGCTGAATCCCCTTCTCCAAACACATTGCGGGAGAGACTTACCGTCACCGCCAAAGAAACTCAACGCCACGGGCAAAAACACCAGCGCGTGGCTGCTCGCGAGAATCACAAGCGCCAGCCAAATGCGAAAGTAATACACTTCAAAGATCTTGCTCCTGGTGAATGCCAACACAACCACGCCCACAAATTTTGTGATGGTGATGCCGCTGAAGACGCTCCCACCCACGTTGACCAACGCCGTCCATGCCCGAATGTCCCTGGCTCGGAACTTGTGCCTTGCTCGCTCCATGATCGACTTGCTGGGGAACATGAACGCCCGGGCAATGTGTGCACAAAACTCGACACCAATGCCCACGGAAATAACCAGGTTCACCAGTGACACGGCGTTGAGGGAGACACCAGCCACCGCCATGACACCAATGATATCCACCACGATCATGACGACTGTCCCCGCCACAATGATTCCCGTCAGTAGCGAGCCCAGCAACAATGACGAAATGACGAAAATGATCGCAACAGCCACACAGAGAAGTGTCGCAGTCAGGCGAACAATGCTGCTATATTGATCGAAGAAGATATAGTGTTTGCTGTAAGGGAACACGTCGATATTGTGGCGTGCGGAAATATCATCTGCTATCCGCCTGGCTGCGGCATAGGAATTGATAAAGTCGGCTTGACCTTGCAGAGGTGTGTGGAATGTTCGGAAATGACTTGCCGGGATATCGACATGATCCTTGTCGATGACCACGGCGTTCGAGTAAGCAGCCTGTCCTCCGTTTGGACATTCCTCATCGGTCGGAGCGTGAACCCACTTCTTAGCATAATAGACAAACTCTTCCCCTTCAGGCATGCCAGAGAGTGTGACATTCCAGTCATCTTCGCCGAAGCAGGTCTCGCCGTTTTCATCCTTGCAGCAATCCGAAATTGGGTTGAGCCAGTAGAAAAAGTCGTCGATCCAGCTGGCGGTGGCAGAGTTGATATAGCTGACATTCGGACGCTTCGACTCTTGCTCTAGAATATACGCCAGCGAATACTCGTCGCAAGTGGTGAACCTGCCGCAGAGTTCCTGCTGGTGCTCCCTCGCCGTCACGTTGAGGTGTCGGGTGACAAAATATACCGGTGGTCCAGATCCAAAATAGTCATACAGGTCGTTGAAATACTGAATCATGTAGGAATCCTCAGGTAGTGCGATGCGCTGATCGAGTCCAAGTTGCACTCTCGGTATGAGTGCAACCCCGGCGGCGAAGAGGGTCACAAAAAAGGTAACAACCAACGTCTTGACCTTTTTGTCCAACAGACCTGGTGCATAGACTTTGCGGATGAACCGTTGCAGCCAGCCTTCCTCGTCACTGCCAAAGAAATGGCCACCAGGCATGCCCGTTGAATTGGCTCCCCGAACTGTGACGCAAGGAAAACAGTCTGACCGGAGACTCTCGACTCTTCTTTGATTAAGCGCCAAGACAGAAACAAACATGGTGACCTGCAGCAGCGCATTGATGAATACAGCACCTGCGGCGTACGCCGCGAAGTTCTTGACTGCGGGCATTCCCACAAATGCCCCCATAGCGAAGGCAATCGTCTCGGTTGAAGCCGACAGGAGAATGCTGGGTCCCATTCTGCCTAGGGCTTTTGCAACACGCACATCAATCTCTTCGTCTGGGTGGCTGACATTGACACGTTCGAACTCGTGGACAATCAAGAAGATGTTGTCCACTCCAACAGCGAGAACCAAGAATGGAATGACTTCGGCAATGATAAGCGTGACTTTAACCCCAGCCGCAGAAAAGAGGCCGACCGAGCCAGAGACTGACATCAGTACGATCAGGATGCCGGCAACACCCAGAGTGAATTTAGATTGAACAAACGCATTTGCGGGGTTACTAAGAAGCGACCTCAGGGACAGCGTCGTCGAACCCAGAGAAAGGGAGGCGTAAATGAACATGACAACATAGCTGATGGCGACAATTTTGGCATCGGTGTTGGTCGACTTGTTGAGCTCCTCCTCGAGACTAATCTCGGTGTTGAAGGAGAGGCGCAAGCCGCGTGCTTTGGCGGATTCTTGGTAAATGAGCAAATCATGCTTGAGAGCTCGCTCCCATTCCTCAGCCCTGGCCTCGGCCTCGGTACCGGGCTGATCATTGTTGACCACCCAAGTTGTGATCAGTGCCTTTGCTTCGGCGACATCGCCAATGCTCGCGTAGCCACCGAGCACTCGTCCCGGCTGAAGAGGGTCCATGAATTCTGGGAGGCACATCTGGTCACCAGGATGTGCAGCACAATGCTCAATTTGTGCTTTCCAGTCATCCATCAAGCCGGCGCCGAACCATCCACTCACAGATTGGACCACACAGGCAGAGCCCGTGGGTTTGAAACACACATCGTCTAGTTTGATCCCCTGCTCAGGGGACATCATGCGTGAAATACGCTGTTCAACGTCAAACCACCAGTCGAGCGTGTCGTAGCTCAAGACGGTGCTGTCTGGGGACGAATCGTTGACGAGAAAAGCTTGCTCTGTCCTGTAGAATGGGCCGAAGTTCTCGTCGAAGAAAGCCTTCTCTTGCGCCGCATCTGAGCTCGGGCTGACCCACAAACGGACTGGATCCCTCTCGACCTCGAATCTGAGCCATCCAAGACTGAGCAGTCCAATGACGACAATGTTTGTCCCAATGGTCAAAGCCGGGTACCGGGCGCAGAATCCACCCAATGCATGAAACGCCTGGTCCAAGATCTGATTGAGGTAATAGTTCCTCTGTGGCCGGTCAAGAATGCCCGCATTGTTGACCAGCTCGCCCTCATCCTCGTCGTCGCTTGGAGCGGAATCCTGCAGCAGCTGAAGCCTCTCGCTCTTCCACTTCTTGTGTCGTTGATACGCTACATGTCCGGAAACAGCCACAACAAGGAGCAGCAGGCCGATCGAGTAGATGATGATGACGGCGAAAGAGAGACACGGAAGCTTTCCGACATGACAGTAATTAACTGAACTGACCGGCTCTAGAGTCGGGCAAACCTCTGGGCAGTCGACGCAGCTGCAGCGATACTTGGGATCGGTGTCATTGCAAGCATAGACACGAGGGTCAGAGGCCTCCATACCCTGGCTGTTTCCAGCCCGAGGCTCCTCGGGGAAGTTGATCTGGAACGGGCTTCCCAAAAGCTTCTTGTCACCCAGGAACTTGAGAAACTCGGTGTAGTTGGTTGCGCCACCTCCGATGAAACTCATGGCCTTGCCACCACTCGCGCCATTCTTGACCTCCCTACAGCTGTCATAGAAGCCACTCTGGTAATCTTTTGACCATATGTTATCCAGCTCGGTGACCACATCCTTGCCATTAGAAGCTTTGCCGATATCGGTGACGTTGACGAACAACGATTGATCAGGAGAGCAGGTAAATGTGCAGAATATGTTGAAGAAATTCTCCTTGCAAGCAGGACACGACGCGATGATTCGTTCCGCCAGTTTCAGGTTCTTTTGCAGGGCATCCACTTGCTCCTCGTTGCAACAGACGTCGGTGTCTTGCCATTTCGCCCCGCATAGATTGACCAGCTTTTCACGCACCACGTCCGAGGGGGACTCGGCCTTTCCATTGTCCGGACAGGGTAGATCGGAGCCGAAGAAGCCCTGTTTTCCACAGTGGCCACGGATGGCGCATCGACCGGCTTCGTGAAGGGGCGTAGGGGCAGAGCAGAGTGCAAGCGGGATAGAGGTGGAGGCAGCAAGCGCTGCTAGGGAGAGAGAAAAGAGGCGCATCGGTTTTGCTTGCTCTGGGAGGATTGAGGGAGAGGATTGAGGACTCGAAGGGTGTTTGTCGATTGAAATTGTGGCTGGGAGTCGCAGGCTATGTCATCCTGTAGAGGGGGGCGAGCGTGGAAGCTTGGACAAAGGTACGAGGACGACTCAGATGGACCTCAGGTGTGGTTTAGGCCAAAGAAGACAGAAGGTTTACAGAAAGACCGGAGGGGATGTAGAGCATCAGTGCAGGTACCTAGTAAATCTGCAGAGAAGATACGAGTCGTTTTGTTTTGCAAGAGGCCGAAGCAGGTAAAGGGCATCCGCATTCTGACACGGAGACTGAATGACTGACACCCACTCACTTTTCCCGCAGGCTGCGATGACGAGCCAAATTCTGCTCCTCCCACGTCACCACTTTTTGGTCTCTCACACTCCACCATGTACCCGACTCGCCGAGTACAAGTAATATGAGCACTGCGAGGTACGAGAATATCTGCAACCTGTAATTACCTCGGATTCCTTCCACCCTCGGTGTCCTTTCTAGTTAGCGAATTGTATTGCCTTGCTTCCCACCCTGTGCTACTCACCCTTTGCACCTTGTTGACCATGAGCCACCCAAAGGCCGGCATTGACTCCCGACGCCTAGAACCCGTTGAACCATCAGGGACGATCCTTTAAGGCTTGCCGGCATAGCCTCAGGTACCAGGAACGTGCTTTGTACGAGTAGCTGCAGGAAATTTGGGATGTGGCCCACATGGCCATACATAATAGAAAGAATAGAGCGCAACAAACACAATGGATTGGCACCGGGTATCTGTGCAAACACCAGCTCCTCTTCGATCTCACTCCTTTCGCACACTCCGCAACTCCTCAATTTCCTGTTCTCTTTTTGGGTTTCTAGCAAGGCTAAAATACATATGTTAGAAGGGAAAAGAAGCGCTCAAAATCCCCGGAAGCTCCCCCTATCCTTCCCAGGTATCAAGTGCCAACCGGAGCCTCAGCCCTCAAAGAATTGATCGGTTCAAACTCCAGCTCAAGCAGTTCCCTCAACATCACATCCTTTGGCGCCTAGCCCATAATGCACATTTGTTCTTTCCCTGTCGCTGTAAAAAGGGCTCCATGGTGCAGAATCTCTTTCACATGCCGGAAAGAAAAATGTCACCGGCCGCTCTGCGAAGTCACAATTGCTCTTCAGCTCTCTCCTGCAGTAGCGGCTGGCTTTACTTCGCTAGGCTTCGAATCTGCGGGCTTGTTGTCGGACGCTCCATCTGTAGTCTTCTGGTAAGTGCCTCGTCCACCACCACGGCCGCCACGGCCACCTCGATCATCTCCCCTGCCGCGCCCACGTCCGCGAAATCCACCTCGCCCTCGGCCGCCTTCACTATCACTTGCCCCTCCACTCTGATATCCTCCACGCGTGGGAGTATTGGCCGACCCAGCCGCGCCCCGATTACTGGGTTGCCATGTCCCAACACCGCCTTGGCTGTGATTGTCGCGTTGATGAAGACCTGGCACTCGATCCGTGCGCTCTTCAAACCACGTAAACTTTGGTACCTTGCCGGAAGAGTTCTTGTGGTTTTGCGCTTCGCCTTGCACTCTGGTCAAAGCAGCCTCGGCAATCTCGTGAGTCTCGAACTGCACCTTCCAGTTGGGGAATTTGCCCATTCTGCTAATGGCTCTGATCTTTTCGCGGTCCTCATCACCAAAACAGTCTCGGATATGTTGTTCACTGTCGGCCTGAGACACATAAAGGGCAGTTGGTGGTCTGCGCTCGGAAGGAGGTGTTGCAGCTTTGGCTTTAGCAGCCTCGCCTTCACCGGTCTTCTCTCCACTCGTACCGTTGGTGGCTGCGATTGTAGTTGTTGGAACCCCAGAGGATGAGGGTTGGGGGGTCAATGGCTTGGCCTGGGACACAGGCGGTGCCGGAGACCCTACTACAGGGGGAGTTCCTGTTTTGGCGGTAGGGGTTGGTGTGGGTTGGGGGGGTTGACCGGGTCTGGTCTGTTGCTGATGAGGTGGCGCTTGTTGCTGTAGAGACTTTTGTTGTTGTGGGAAAGGCTGTGTCGGCGCAGAGAAGGCAGGAGTGCGGTTTTGAGCCGGACCGGTCGAGGCCGGGACAGGAGGCATGGAACCCGAGCCCACAGACGCTGGACCTGTCGGCGGTTGTTGAGGAGCCGTTGGAGGCCCCGTGGGTTTTCCTCGATGAGCAAAGTTGAAGCCTTGCGCCCGCATCTCTGTCCCAATACGACCGCCTTCGATTTCCAAGACGAGATACCCGAATGCAGCGTCCGCGAGATTGAAGTTCCACATGTTCTTAAAGGCACTTTCGTCCACCTGACCTGCCCCAGGTCCACCTCCCACAGGTCCGCCGAAAGGATTGCCTCCATTCGCAGTGCTGGGCATCTTCTCTACAATTTCCAAGGCACTGTGGAGGAGAGCTTTGTGATTGGTATTGTTTTCGATCGCCTGCTCCACGTCCATCTTGACCGTTTCCCACACGTCCTGGAAGGATGCTTTGGACGCTGCCAACTTTCCGCGATAATGATCCAGAGATGGGTTAACAGAGAATTCGTTGTACGAGCTGCCATATCGGAAATGTAGACCCGCTGAAATGGAAAAATCGGCCTTGAGAGTGACAGAGAGTTGGTTCAGAATGCCGTCTCTGGCAGGGGACGCGTGTGTCAGGAAGATGCGGGTTTCTGAGGGATCGTACACGCGGTTTGCGGTGTCGATTAGAGCGCCAATTTGAAGCAGCGTCGTCCACATGGTCCCTTGTCCGCCTGCAATGTAGGTCTTGCCTTCTCCATTGTCAAATAGCTTGTGAATAACGACTGCGCCACCGAGTCCGAGAAGTCTCAATTTTACTCCGCCAATATCAAGTAATCTTGAATTAACTTCGTCGATAATGTGCAGATTGTCCACCTTGTACTCGCCTGACCGAAAACGTTCCAGCACTCTCACATCTTCACAAGCTCCCCATACCGTATAAACTGGTACGTCCAGGGTGATTTGCTTGTTGAGTAGAAGTGGTAATTCTGAAAGGGGTAGTTGGTCGGGTGTGAACATTTGCTTGATCGGCCGCTGAGGTTGAGGCTGGGCGATTTGGCGCTTCACATGTTCGCTAAGGAGCGGAGAATATTGCGCGACATGTTTCAGTGTCCTAAATTTTGGTGTAAGCCATCGTGTACCAACTCCCAGGGCTTGGAGTATATCCTACTTCTCGGCTATTCTCTCCAGCGAGGTGTTGTCATAGAACCCGAAGTCGCCGGTGTGTAAAATGTAATCGGCCTTCGCGGTCTTTGCCAGTTCATTCAGAGATCTAAGGTTTCCTAGAGTTCCTGGAGTCAGACCTGTTTTAAGGCTGGATGAAACACCGCAAACTGACCTCTGACATCTGCAATACAAAGAACTCGAATGGGCCCGGACTGAATGATGCGGCCGTTGTTTGGCAATAGCGCCTGAGCCCCAGGAGTCGGCCCTGTGGTGGTACCGTTCGGCAGGTATCCTGGATTCGGGAACTGAGGACGTGGCTGTTGACGGAGGTGAATCAGTGGAAGTGCTATGGGGGCCATGGTTCGGGATGCCATGGTAGCGCAAGAAGAGAGGGAAAGAAGGACGTGAAGTTCTTCGTTTGATCGGAGAAATGAGGAGGACTTACTGAAGCCATGAGTGAATGGCGAGCTAGAGGCTGCGCGACACAGTTGTGATTTCCACGTAAGGCCGCAGGCGAGTGAAGCGTGCGGCGAGTTGAGAGGTTTGGGGAACGGGGGTCAGAATTAGTATTAGAAATTTGTCTCTAAGAGGTTTGACGAGATCAGGCGCGTTCAACTCAGAGACGCTGAGGGAGAAGATGAGAAGAACAATGGTCAAAAGGCGATGAGGAAGATACAAAGACTCGACTGTTCAGACACTTCAGGTCGTCGGGACAAATTCATGGACGAAACCCCAGGAAAGCAAAATACAAGCGGCAAGAGCTGCTCTTGCCTGTCTTGGCCTAGTCTCTTGGCGCTCTCCCCCCTTTACTTTCTGTATCAGATTCAACGCTACCAGGCTACGAAGCATTTCAAGAAGCCAAGGACACCAGCCGTTGTATCAGAGCTAGGTGACAATTTGTTGTTCTTTTCTGCTGCTACATCTTCCGCATGGCTGGTGCGGAAGGCCTTGTGAATGAAGGATCCCCGCCAACATCACAAAAAGTTGACGGGCAGACGTTGTTACATGTAAATGCGTCAAACCTTTGCCTCAACAACCTCAACTCCAGATCGCATCATCTCCTAGATAGCTTCAAACAACACATGCAAGCCAGGTGTACCCCAGAGTCGTCCATTTTTTGATGATAAAATATACCTTCCTCGTGAAGCCCATCCGTAATAAAGGCCGACCAATCGTCCCTGAGCACATCTCGAACGTTTCAGTCAAGGGTCTTGACTTTGTGTCTAGACAGCGCCCAAAATCTCGTCGACATCCTTCTTGTAGACAACGGCGCCACCTTCGGAGCACTTGGCCTTTGATCGAAGCTCACTACACAGGTTATCAATATCAATTTCGCCGTTGCGGAATTTCTCCATTGACTGCAGTCGATCCCTGTGATTGAAGTTAGCACCGTGGCTTAATTCTAGGTGGGAGGGTCACGAACCAAATCTTGTTGCAGGTCATAGGTTTCTCATTATCGGGAACAACTTCCTCGTTGCCATTCTTGGCATCTTCAACTTGTTTTAGGAGGTCCACCTTTGACGCCGGGTCTGGCGCCACGTCGTTATAGTTATGAAGAGGGCTGCCTAGATCCGGGAGTGGATAGGCATCATTGAAGAATGCCCCAAAGTCTTGCGACAGGATATTGTCCTGCGTCTCGCGATAATCGCCGAATAATATAGGGTCAAAGGTATTGTTGTTCTGTTGGGCGAGCCAGTTGATACCGTTGACATCGAAGCCGGGGTCATTAACGTAGCCTAACGGATCCTCGTTAGACATTTTCAAAATTGGCGGTATCGGATCCTCTGCACAGCCACAGGCCAGCTGGAGTTGATCGCGGAGATAGTCCTTACCGCCAAAAGGAACTTGATGTTCTTCGCTGATAGGGTTGAGATTGTACTCAGTAAGCTTGTTTGCAGGAGAGTTCAAGCTTGGCTCCGGAGAAGTGCCAATTGATGATATAGCATTCTGCGATTCGGTACATGAACTGGGAGAGTCGGAGTTGGAAGTACTCGAGTTCGAATACTGCCCGGGCAAGTTACTCAAGACTCCATTGTCAAGACTGCCGCGATTGCTCTGACTCGCGCCGTTGAAAGCAGAGACAGCGGATTTGGGGAAGTAACCTCCCAGACTAGCGTGGCGACTGGCTTCCAGGATGGATGGACTAAACAATCCAGACAAGCTGTCAACACTTCCATTCTGCTCCTGCCGTTGGCTCTGAGGCTGGGGAGAGGCGGTAAAGGTGTTGCCAATGGGCGACTGGCTCATGGACCCGTATCTTGTCGCTTGGTTCTGCGAAGCTGACGTGGAACGACGACTGGCAGGATTTTGAGCGCCAGGCGTGGCACCTGGAGTTGGGACCGAGGGAGACCTGCCATTGCTGGAAGCTTGTTGTCTCTGCGAGTTGGAATTGCCAAACAGCCTTGTTGCAGGCATCGGAGGAAGGTCACCGAATTTGGGAAATTCAAATTGGAAGTCATTGCCACTGGTGCTGCGATTTTGACTAGTTGTAACCGGTTGTGATCTATTCAGACCATTACTGCTGATCCAAGAGAGTCGCTTGCGGTATTCTTTCAACTCGACTTGCAAGCGCTCCACCTGGGCGCGAAGAAGGCCGTTTTCATGGTTGGCCGACTCCGAGGCTTTTTCTAGATCCTCGACTTTGGTTTCTAGGTCCTTGAGATGCTTTTCCTTGCGCTCTCTGAAGGCTCGTTGCGCGGCGCGGTTCTGGGCCTTGCGTTTTGAGGTAGGCTCCGAAGTCAATGGCTTCCTTCCGGGCTTTTTGGCAGTCTTGTCTTCGCCTTCTCTTCTCTTACCGCCGCCTTCATCGTCGTCGTCTTTTCCGTCGACGCTCTTGCGCTTATCGTGGAGGTCGGTGGACGCCGGCTCTCCGGGTATCTCGCCGATCATGCGACTATTTTCGTCAAAGTCAAATGATTCATCGCCAAAGTCGGCGTCAGGATCGAAGTCCAGAAATGGGCTGTCATCACTGAACTCGAGGTTTCCGGAGCCGGGAGCACTGGACATGTTTGGAGTGAAGTTGAAATTCTGTGGAGTGTTCTTTTGAGTATTCGACCTCGATTGATTTGATGAAGTATCGGTCTTCAGTGCCGCCAGGAGGATATCTCGTTGTTCCGAAGACAGGTAAAGACCTTCTATAGACTGTCGCGACATGAATTTGGTGGAAATCGATGATTGCTTGGGAGCACGACTTGTCCCGGTCCGCGAACACCAGATCAAGGTCGTCGGAAAAGAAGGGGAGAAAGTTCAATTGCAGAATGCACGAGGCAGTGCCCCCCTCTACTGCGTAGATAGGCAGTATCAAGAGGCGGCTTCGAGGTCGCAGGTTGGATACGAAAGGCGTGGAGGAAGGAGTAGAGTGAACGAAGGAATGAAAGCAGAGTGGGATGAAGGGAGGGTCAAGTTTGGGGGGCACGAATAATAGGCGGGGCGATCACCGCACAAGGGCGAGCGGCTCCCAAAGAAAAGTATGGGTGATTCTAACTCGTCACAAAACCCTCAATGATGGCAGCGGCGGATATTGGTATGAGAAGGCTCTGAGGACCTGGAAACGGACAAATGAGATGGAAGGGAGGTGGAAAAGAAAGGGAATTGAGAGTTGCGATGAGATCAATCGGAGTGGAGGGTGGTAGAAGAGAGGAGTTTGTGTGGATGGTACGAGTTAAGGGCGCAGACCCTGAAGTGTCAGTTCGATAGCGAGCAAAGAACTTCGCCAAGGGTAAGAACACCGCCTATGGGGGTACCGACTTCAATGCCCCGTTAGTGATGCTCTTTACCCGGAAGCCCCCAAACCGCTAAATGATTCTAAATGATTTCTGCTAACTCCCTCTGGACGGAGTAGACTGCCTGACTGCCTAACTAGAGCGCTGTCCTGTCCGGGGGGAGGGGTCCTGCATGCCTGGACCTTGCCTAGGGATCACCTAGGTAGTAGGTACCGCCTACAAAGTACAGGTATCTCAAGTGCCGCCATTCACTGCGGTTTCCGGGTACATATTCCCCTCTTGGATTATTGCCTCTTTGCCTCTTCACAATAGCCCTGTGGTCCATGCCATCTTCTTTACAATCTCTTGGTCGTGGATGGAGGAAAACCACGCGTTCAGCGAGCCAAGGTAAGATGTGGCGAATACTGGTCGGGAGATGCCAGCAGGAGTAGGCAAAGCAGACTGCGTATGAGTGGCCCTCCAAGTTGATTTCTAAGCGGCAGTGAGTCGCGACCGATCCATGCCCATCCACGGCGGTCCATCTCAATACCGATTCAACCCTGTCGGCGAATCAGCGGTGCTGGCTGTCTACGGCCACTCTACCATAAACAGCCTCCCAGCCCGTCATCCTGCCTTTCCACCAATTGTCGCCAGGGTTCCGAGCGCAAATTTACTTTTGTCCTGATACGAGCTCAATGGGTCCGGCGTGGTACCTTTTGGCTGTACGCAGCAGAGTCACACTTTGCTGTGCCTGTTTTTTTAAGTTCTCACTCCTATCACCAGCTGTCTTTCTTCAAACCGACGTCATACATCCCTGTCTATCCGTAATGTCCGCATAGTGTTACTTGAGGCTGTGGTAGGGCAGGCAAGCTCTTGCGTGGGGTGACTTGTCGACTTGACGTTTTTAGGGTTCTCGACAAGTTTGACGATCACAAAGTAGAAAAGCCGCGGCAGAGTGACTAAAAAAAGGGCAAAATTCTTGAGGATCGGAAGGTGATGGAGCCACAGCTAAGAAAGAGGTTCGAGAAGCACCACCGAATGTTAGGTATTGGTAGGTTCAGTATTTCCGGCTGCGGAGGCGAAAAGCCTTGGCGAGCCGCAAGCCAACTGCCATCAACTCTGGCACGTTATCCAAAGTACAGGCAAGGCTTCGTAGGGAAACCATTTGCAATCATTCTCTCATATCGATTGTCTTTCTTTGGTGTACCTGAAAATCGGATCCACAAAGATCTCGCATCTCTCTCTTGCCATCGTTCGAACTCCGCCGTCCACAAATCTGCAGCCATGAGCGCTGCTGAAGTCGCGGTCCTTGAAGGCGAAGTAAAGGAATATAAACTGCAACTGGAGACAGTCCAGCTGAGTTTGCAGAATGACCCGGACAACAGCGAGTTGCAGAGTCTCAAACAAGAACTTGAAGAAGTCATATCCCTCACCGAATCAGCCATTGCAGAGCTAAAGCCTCCATCAGCACCCGCTCCGCCTGCGCAAACTGCCACCCCGCCAGGGAAGGAAAAATGGTCCAAAGAGAATCACCCTGCGTACCAGGCCGGTTATCGGAAGCCTGAGGTCGAGACGGAAGACACGAGCAACCCCACAGCCTTTTCTGTCAACGACACGGTCTCGGCTAGATGGAAGTCCGGGGATGGAGGATTCTATCCGGCGCGCATCACCTCCATCACAGGTTCCTCTAGTGACCCGGTCTACATCGTAACATTCAAGAACTACGGCAATACAGAAACACTCAAAGCCAAGGACATCAAGCCGCTGACCAATGAAGCCAGGAAGCGCAAGGCTGATGGAATGTCAGGATCATCCACACCAGTGCCTCCGCCCTCGAATCCGAATGTTATCTCGGCCGCAGCCAGCGTCGACCCTGCTCTAGCGCAGCAAGCCCGCCGTGAACCAAGCAAAGTCAGCGATGGGCCCATCCGACCAGCGAAGATCCCTCGCAAAGTCAAGGCCAACAAGGAACTCGAGGCGGGCAAATCGAAATGGCAAGATTTTGCGGCCAAGAGCAAGGCTGGAAAAACAACCAAGAAGGAAAGCATGTTCCGCACGGGCGAAAGTGTTAACGCTAGGGGTAGGTTTTTGTTTTGTTGCACTAAAGACCGAGAATCCTACTGACTGTTGGCTAGTTGGCTTCACCGGCAGCGGTCACGAGATGCGCAAAGATCCTGCAAGAACACGACACATCTACCAGCAGGGTGGTCAAGAAGACTGAAGACGACGACTGGGAGGCATTTTGAACCTGTGTTTCCCATCAGTACCTATCTTGCTTGTTTGCTTTGAGCGTTCATGGGTTTTTATGAGGCAAACGCTGACGGGATGGCCAATTGCAGATTCAGCCACGACATGCATCGGCGATGTACAGAACGGAGCCGGGCGTAGATCTATAATGAGACAAGTATCTTTCCTATCTGCATCATGACAGTCTCTGACGTTTCGATTTATCCAGAGTGGTGGGTGAGAGAACGGGTGCAAGGTCTGGAGTCACACCCAACCCAACCCAAGCGGGGATGGCCTGATCCATTCAGTTGGTCTCTGGGATCTTGTCAGAGACTGTCCATCTTGCGTAGGTGATTTTGATTGACTACGTGAGCATTCGTGAACCTCACAAATGTCTCTCTGATCTGCTCTCGAGGCATTGTATTGCAGTCAGCCATCATGCGCTGCTGTTCTGACAAACGCCATTGGGAAGCGCTATTCTCGATGCGGGTTCAGGTTCCAGATCCGACTGTGCTCGCTATATCATTGTGTCCGGTCCGCCTGAATCTGGCACACGCGGTTTTTGTATCAGCCCATGCTCTTGTCCTGCGGATTAATCTTGCTTTCTGCGCTTAGAGCCTCGACGGACTGCGTGTGCGCGTCCAATTTGTGATCACTCTCCCCTCCTGAGGTACATGGACTCGGGCAAGCACATGCTAGCAGGTACTTGGTATTGGAGGGGTGACATCCACCTCTTTTCAAGCCGAGTATCCGAGATGTATCGGTAGATGTTCTGGGGAATGTCATGCAACCCATGTAGACGGAACTCAATGAAACGAAAACAGCTTTTCCATCGTTTCCCTCCTTTTTCTCTGTAGGTTGTGGGATCACAATCCACCCTGAATCCTAAAGCTGCTGACCACCAACACCAGCATATTGATGATCCCCCACAAGAGCGGCGTCCAGGTACTCATCCCAAAGTACCCGGCGTTGTAGACGGCGCCGAGGACCAAGCCGACCAAGCTGCCGGCGAGGAGAGCCTCGCTGGCCCCGATGACGATGTAGACGACGGGGACGAGCCAGACCCAGCCCAACGTCTCTGCGATGGGGTTTTTGCTGTCGCCGCCGCCGAGCAGGATGCGGTTCTTGGGACTCAGGGCCCGTCCGGCCGGCGAGGCGAGGTACTTGCGCCGCTGGTCCGCCGAGGCGAGCTGCATGAGCACGGCCCAGACGGCGACGCACCCGTGCGCGGCCACCATGGTGAGCAGCGTCCAGTACAGCGTGTACCGGTAGATGTCGGACAGGAAGTACAGGTACTGCGGCTCGCCCGGGTTGGCGTGGACGGGCCAGTATAGGGCCGGGAAGTCGGGGGTCACGTAGGAGAGGGGCACGCCGCTGCCATAGGTGGTCATTTTCCTCTTCTGCGCAGAGAAGGAGGAGGAGGAGAAGTAGTCAAGGGGTTCGCGGTGGTGGTTGGGGAGGTGGGAGAAGTGATCCAGGGACAGGCGGAGGTTGAGGAGGCCAAAAGTATCTCTCAATACAACCCCCTACGGCGTGAGGACCTCGTCGTGACGGACCGCATGTTTCAAGATGAAGCTGAAGTTGGCATTGGTATTGACACGAAAACGAACCTGCGACAAGTGACGCTTGATGAGAGGGAAACACATTCTACATAATACGAGGTACATGATTTGGCCTGGTGGTTTCGATCTCCAGGCGGAATATCCGCTCCGAAGTTTATCCGACGGCCTCAGAGCATGATTGGTCCACTCCAGTACTTGCCCTTCCACGCTTCCCCGGGTTTTTGGTCTTACATACTCCACAATCTCAGGGTCACAGACAACAAACGCCATACCGAAACAACAGGAGGGGAGAAAGAAATCGAGGATCGAGAGCAAGAGTATTTGATAAGATTAAAGACGGGTGATATACTCTCCCAGGAAGCAGATTTACAAGCCCGGCTGCTGCTGCTGCTCGAGGGCAGAAAGACCATGCCGTGTTTCCCAATGATTGACTAGTTAGCATTACTTTCAGTCTGGAGGTGAACAATAGCACGGACATGGTCTGCACGATGTATCAGACAACCGGTGAATTATTTCCCCCAAGTATACATGCCACGACGTCAATTACCAACCAAGCTGGCCTACCTATACTTGTGTATGGGTCGACCCGATGAAAGGCGAATATTCCGCTGTCAAGGATCGACTCCGATTACTCTTCCAAGTGACATTGTCTAGTTGCCTTACACCAGCCCTCTTCTGAGCGTGCTGATGGTGGCGTTTCGCAATAACTCGTCGATCAACCGGAAATTCGGATCTGACCAGCGGCTGGGATCGAGGTTGCGGAGGATGCATCTGGCATTCCTACCAGAGGGAGTCGTCCTCAACCGCATACACACGTCGCAGATTTGACCTCCAGGTATACGCCTTTTCGCATCTACGTCCTCATCCAAAAGCGCCTTGATGGCCTTCACATTCATGTGGCGAGCTGCAAGGTGCAGCGGAGGCAGCGATCCGTCAGCTTCACCCGACACGAGCTCCTTATCGGCTCCTAATCTTATCAATTGGGAGATCCATTCTGGCCGGTTGCTGATGATGGCCTGGTGCAAGACAGTATTGCCTGCATGGTCCGTCAAGTTAATGGCTGGATGGTTTTTTGCCACCTTGCACAGCTCCACGAGGACTTGTTTTTGGCCATTTCTGACCGCTTCGTGTAGCGCCGGTTTGAACTCGCTGTCAAAGGGCGGCCGCGGTTTCCACGAGACGAGATTCTGATGGCTCGTGATCATTTCTTGGACCAATGCCAGCTTTCCATCCCGGCTTGCCTTGGACAACACAGGAAAACCAGCGCGCAACGATGCTTGATTTTTATCGTCGTGCAGAAATGCGCACAACAGCTCTTGGGATGAAGCTTCTTTCGACGGGGCCATGTCCATAACATATTGTAGCGGATATTTGCCGTCGCGATCCTTTACGTCCATCTTACATCCGCGATCGAGCAAAACTCTGACCAAAGCTGGATCTTCGCCTATGACAGCATGGTGCAGCGGCGTTTGTCCCTTTCTGTGGTCAGTGCCGTCGATCTTGGAGCCCGCCGCCAGCAAAGCTTCAACACTGGCAACGTCCTTTGCCAAAACAGCGCAACGAAGGGCGGTTTGCCCTTCATTATCAAAGTATTCAATCTTGGCGCCTGCGTCGGCCAGCTTTTGTATCATCTCCACATCCCCAGCGAGGGCGGCATAATGGAGTAGTGTGTGACCATTGCTGTCGGTGGAGTTAATGTCGGCCTTGTGATTCAGCGAAAGTTCAGCCACACTACGTTGTTTCTCTCTCACTGCCGGATCGCGGTGTTTCTCTCTCACTGCCAATGACAGAGGGGCATCTCCCTCGTCGTTCCTTGCGTTAATCAAACCCCGAGCGTTTTCGACAAGGTAGCTTGCGACTTTGATGGATCCATTCCGGGCGGCGCAGTGTAGCGGCGTATCGTGAGGGTACTTTTTGCTGGTCCCCGCAATGTGTGCGAGCTTTTTCTCATCAAGAAACTCGACAATACCCACTTTATCGTTTGCGATGGCGATATAAAACAGGGGATTCCCAGCTTGATCCACCACATCGGGATTCGCTTTCCGCTTGAGCAACAACCTGACAGTATTTAGGCGACCGTTATAGACCGCCAGCATCAGAGGAGTGAATCCTTTGAAATAACTTTTACCTACGCTCTGTCTCTGTGTTTCGATATCGGCATCATGCGGTGCATTCAGGAGGCGCTCAACCACCTCGTCCATCCCCCACTTCGCAGCGCTTAGGAGCGCTGTTTCCCCAAGGACGTTTCGAGCATCGATTTTTGCACCGTTCTTGATGAGGAGCTCCACAATGTCTGATTTTCCCTTTTTGGCAGCATAGCACAGTGGACGGTCCTTAGGGTACTTGCGGTCCTTGGGATCCTCGGGCTCCTTGGTATTCTCAGTGTTGGGGTCAGGCGATTCTTGATTGGGATCAAACCCCAGTTCAAGCAGAAGGCGGACCATCTCGAAGGAGTCTCCGTCGTCTATGGCCTTCAGCAGCCATAATGCCCGATTGCCCTTCAGAGCCTTGTCATCTAGGATTCCGAGTCTCTTGAGCGCTTTGCAAACATTGTCACGTCCTTCCTCTCCGCCTCTTCTGTGGCCAGTATGATCTCCGTGTGACTGAGTCGAGCTGTTTGGAAGGGCACCTGCGTGGGTGGATTGTGTGGGAGCTTGTGCTGTTGTGCTCTTATCTGATACCCTTTTCCCCTCTTTTTTTTCTTTTCCAGATGCTTGAGCCTTCGGTTGTGCAGGGGACGAGGATTCATTCTTTTTTGCTGGCTTTTTATTCCCGTCAACAATGTGCTTAAGTCGTGTAGCTTGTATGTCGTTCGTGGCGATACGTTTTTGAAGTTCCAACGCCGGCGGACCGTCCTGGGCTCTTCTCGATTCTTAGTTCTGACTTCGATAGAACAGAGCGCCTATACAACAGCACTTACGGGTCGACCATGCGTACAAGATCCTCTAGAACATTATGATAGTCGCTCATAAGGGTGTAATAGTCATTCCACGGGATAGACGCGTCACGAAGCTTTTTGTGGCGAAGATTGTAGATGGCCGAGTCCAAGACATGTAAACACCCCTCAAGAGCAGCCTTGAAGCAACTGTGTTTATGATCTGCTTCTCGAAATGGATGTTGAGGGCAATCAGTGGAGCTGAAGATGCGTTGCAAGCCTTTTAGGCTCTTCTCGATGCCAACAAGTGGAGTCTCGATTCTAGATATGGACCTGGAATGGCCGTCGGCAGAGTAGGCGGCATTTTTTAAATCCTCTTTTGCCTCGTCGCAATCTAGTAATAGGCGGCCAATTTGTCTAGTTGCTTGAGAGGCAGTTATCAGCTCCATAGCGGAAGACGGGAATGCGAGCCGGTGCTGGGAAGAGTCTCATCTAACAAACACACAGCAACTTCGCCGGGTGTTATATGCTGTCAAGCATGAACTTGCGCCCGATTATACCTGGAGTCATCCGCATGTTACGGGGACAACCAGGCTGGCGAGATAATGTAAAGTGCTGTAAACGGTTCAAAAGAGAGACCCCGCCATGCACTTCGTGACGTGGCAATGCATGCTTCTGCATATGGGTGGACCGGATGGGCTGCTCTAGAAGCAGGTTGATGCGAACTGTGCGGGTCCTCCTTAACATGAATGGGGGAACTCTTCTTAATTAGCTGCATTTCAGTCGGGCGTCGAGCACTCCATGTGTAGTTTAGACAATGGCCGCAACTGCCGGATGTCCGGCAAGGTGTTTGTTTGGGCGCACAGAGCCTCATTAGGGCCGTCGGGGCTATCATTGGGTGGCGTCGGATGTGGTATCGTCATTTGTGTAACATCAGGGAGAGACAGGCTCTGCAGCCAAGATAAACAACGCGAGATAGAGCCATGGCAACCTCTTCGTCGCAGAGGAGAGCGGGGTTTGGGCGACATGATATATCATCGACAGATTGAAGTCTGGAGATGGAAAGTGAAAGATCAAAGACGGAACGTGGAAAGAAGGAGGAAGGGATGATGAGGCTGCCGGCCACGCTGCCCAAGAAACCCGCAGTGGAATCTCGGAGAAACAAACCCCCGAAGATTCTCAGCCTTGCCGACTACAAGTACATGAGCACCTTACCGACACCATAACGGATGGAACAGTCCAGCAGAGGGTATTTATAGGGTTGTATGCGGTTATAAGGCGTGGCCTGAGCAACAAAGGTCCGAGTACGGTGGAGGAAGATCCTTCGAGATGGCAAGGAAGCAATCTGATTCACCCTCTCTCATGGTCTCACCTTTGTCGATCCCTTGCTTTTCACTCGAACAACAGCTACATCTTCCCGGCTCTTATGGCAGAGTGTAGCCTCCGTCAATAAGGACATCACTTCCAGTCTGGAAGCTCGAGGCATCACTCGCCAGGTACAAGTAGAGACCCTTGAGTTCGCGGACATGACCCTGGCGACCCAGCACTGCCATGCGATGGGCCTCATTCTCACACAGCGGGGAAGCCCCCATCTTTGTCTGGAAGAATCCGGGACTCACAACGTTGACGCGCGCAAAGTCCCTCCACTCTCTCGCGAGGCTCTTGCCGAGATGGGTGACGGCTGCCTTAGTCACGTTGTACACAGGCTGGTCGACGGGCACGTTGACTATGTGGGCCGACATGCTGGACGTGATGATCAAGTTCCCTCGACCCTGTTGTTTGAAGACCTCGCCCGCGTACTTGGCACAGAAGAAGACGCCATCCACGTTCACTGACATCTGCTTTCGATACTCGTCAACCGTCTGCTCGAGAATCGGCTTTGAGATGGCCATCCCGGCGTTAGCGACAAAGACATCCAGACGGCCAAAGTCTTTCACCACCTCGTCCACCGCGTGTTGGACCCGCGACGGCTCTGAAACATCGACCTGGTACGCTCTGACCTTGATGCCATGTTGTGACGCCAATTGTTGCCCCTTGGATTTGGCGGCGTCGTTCGTGTTGTACCAGAGTGCCAGATTGGCGCCAGCTTCTGCCATGGCTTCGGCGACCGCAAAACCAATGCCGTCCGACGCACCGGTGATGCACACCAACCGACCTTTCATGGAGAGTTGCTCAAAAACATTGTTGGGTGTGGCCGGGGTTGGCTTTGGGGGCCGAGGAGTGGCGCATTCTTCTATTGACATGGACATACTGGATGGATGTGGGAATGGGGGAATGAGATGAAGCCAGAATTTGAAGATTTCACACGAGTGAAAGGTCGCAAAAGAGATGAGGAGGAGATGGCCAGAGTCGTCGGTATATATGGGATTCGCTGACATGGATTAGTGGCTGTTTCTCGGGGCAATGCCGTCCGATTTGGGATCGGCAGGGTCACTTCGGATATTGCTTTGGACGACTCGAGTGCTTTAGTACTAATTTTTCGGCAGACCAGAGAAAAGCGATGGGCAGTGAGTGTCCTTGTTCATCTCGTCCATCATGCGGCGGATCGATTCCTCCTGGCTGATAGAAGCTCTATAGACAGAGACAGTATCTGCCTAAAGACCAAGGAACCATACTATTTGTCAATCAGTGTATGGCTTACAGAAGCGGTATATCCTACGAAGATGGCTGTGACACCTCGAGCTGCCAGTTTACACTACAGCCAAGTGTACGAGAAAGGATGGACAACCCCTCCCCAGGTGCCACAACCTTGATTGACAATTACCCGATTGGGGTGCATGGGGCCTTATGCACGAGTCATGTACCCCGCACAAGGCTACGAGTTCCACACGAGGCTGGTGACGTAACACTTCTACCTCGTGGCTGGTGCCTGGTGGTGCTGGTGTGCTAGGCTACACTATAAGCAGCTTTCTATATTATATCCCTCTCGACTCCTCTAATCCCTAAATCACAAGTGATAGTACGAGCTATTTGAGTTCTGCGTGCTCAACATGGCCACCCAAACACAACCTGAAATCATCCTCTACGACCTGGCCTGCACCAAGAATGTCTGCTTCTCGCCCGCTGTCTGGCGCATCCGCCTCATGCTCAACTACAAACGTATCCCGTACCAGACCATCTTTGTCGAATTTCCGGACATTGAACCGACGCTGAAAGGGCTGTGAGTGTTCGCCCTCTTTTACGGTTTCCTCCTTGTTATTCCCAGCTGCATACTTTAGATACCATGTCTCCCATCTATCACAAGTTAGAGAGGTAGGTATTCTCCCTCACTTGATGACAACCCTGTTATTAGAGGCATCGCCCCCTCGAGCGGAACCAGTTCGTCGTCCCAGATCAAATACACGGTGCCGGCGATCCACCACGTCCCGAGCAACACGTCCATGATGGAGTCGGGTGCGATCGCCCAGTTCCTCGAGTCGACGTATCCGGACCCGCCGGTGCCGTTGACATCGGAGCTCGGCCGGGAGATCGAGACCCAAGCACGCGCCGTGGCTGGAAAGGTGTTCTGGGCATCGATATTGCCGCGCGAAGTGAACGTCCTGTCGCCCCGCGCACAAGAGTACTTTCGGCGCACGCGCGAGGCCGCGCTGGGCGGTCACCGCCGGCTCGAGGACCTTCTCGATGAGGCCAAAGAGGACGAGAGCTGGGCCGCCGTGGACGACGGCATGCGCGCCGTGGGCGAGCTGATGCGCACGAACCGCGCCGACGGGCCCTTTGTGCTGGGTGCCCATCCCAGCTACACCGACTTCTTCATCGCCGGGTCGCTCCAGAACGCGCGGGTGGTGGACGAGGGCGTGTTTCTGCGGAATATGCGCTACCCGGGCTTCAGGGACGTGTATGAGGCGTGTGTGCCGTACATGGAGAAGAATGATTGAGTAGAGATCCCGGAGGGCGGTCTTGCGGCTCGTCGGTCGTATAGACAGATACCTAGGTAGACACGATCAATTCTCTGCTCAACAAATAGAGTTAATAGATAGACTATCAACAAAAATTCTTCCCTGGACGAGAATCGTTTAGATAGAATCACCTAACGACTACCGAGGACTTGCATAGCGATCCAACACCTACTTGTACATACGTAACTACTACGAGATATCCCATAAACACATCTATGTATGCACATGTAGCCATGCATAAAGCATTTGTACACCATACATAAAACCACCACATTTACATTCACCCCCCCCTTCCATTTGAGCCTTCTTTTACTGATCCTTCTCGCTCCTCGCTCCTCGCTTACTGACTTCTTACCTCTAGGAAAAAGGATTCCCGCATTCTGCCTAAAATCCTAACCATAATAACCACCGATGACCCGAAGTATTCCCCAAAGTCGCCCAACGTTGGGGCCCGATGAGATACTGGGGCCTTTCCTTGGCCCTTGGCTTCTGAGTCGTGGGTCCTTGGTTGACACTGATTACTCCGCTACTACCTCGTATAGTCTGGGTAGGGAGGTTGGTAGGGTATCATCCATGTCCGCCAAAGTACTGTTGTACCTGGGAAGGAATTATTATTCTCCCCCCTCCGGAGTTTGCCCTTTTTGGCCAATTGCAAAAAGTTGGGACGCTCTCTCCAGAGCACATCCACAAACTACAAACGGCTCCTGATGTGATAGGCCTCCAGGGAAATGTACCTCGTGTAGGAATTTCTTCATATTCTCAAACCGTGCTCTGCGTTGATCAGTATCTAGAGACCAAAAATGCTTGAAAAAGGTCCTGTCCGCTGCTGATCAGTAAGTCAGGACTAGGGGGGGGAAAGGGAGATACAAATCTGGTCAAAGAGTCGCCGTCACACAACCGACATCATGAAGTTCACAGAGGGAATGTGGCGGACCCGGTCGGGCGTGTCTTTCAACTGGATGGGCAACGTGGAGCGGCTTCACGTCGATGAACACAACGCCGTCAACCTCTTGCTCACAAAGACGCAGAGGAGCCGGGGCGACACCCTCAACGTTGGCACCCTCTCTGCTCGAGTCCGCACTCCGCTCCAAGGTGTCGTCGCCGTGAGCTTCTCCCACTGGACCGGCGAGGAGGATCGGGGCCCTCATTTCCCCCTGTTCGAGTCGCCGCCAACCCCAACCATCAATCACTCCAAGGGCCAGTCGCTGGACTATACGAGTGGACCGCTGGCCTTGTCCATCAACACCGCCCCAAACCAGCTGGCTTTCACATACTCGTCCAACTCGAAAAGGCTCACCGGCCACTCATTGCGGTCCATCGCCGTGGTGTCGTCCTCGGACACGCCCAGGTACAGGATCGACGAGGGCATGTACGCGCAGCAGGACAACTATATCCTCCTGGAGCTCGACCTCTCGGTCCACGAGAAGATCTACGGCCTTGGGGAGCGATTCGGCCCGTTTGTGAAGAACGGGCAGACGGTCGACGTCTGGAACGAGGACGGCGGGACCAGTTCCGAGCTGACGTACAAAAACGTCCCCTTCTACCTGTCCAGT